CTAACGTAACACGGTGATCGCGTTGCGTAATCGGTGACGCAAAGCGACGCCCGTGGTGATTTCTTCGAACACCGACGCGTGTCCAGTCGAATCAGTCTCAAAACGAAATTGGCCGACCATTAAGTTATTCTAAATGCCCTTCGACGATGTGGTACCGGAGAGGCAGGATACTCCGAGAGAGAAAGGAAGCGCGTGGACGTGTGGCGCGAGCAGACCTCTCGAGTTTCACGAAACTCTCTGTCGTTTCGTGCGTCGATCTCTACCGAGTAGGCTTGCGCGAGCGTGGAATATAATCGTTGGACGCGGAGCAGGACCCTTCGGTGTCCCGTGATGGGCAGAGTCGAAAGAAACGCAGACGAGGAAAGGAATAAGAAGAAAAACGAAGAAGCAGCAAGCAGGAGGAAATAGGAAGAAATAGAAGACGAAGAAACGGCAAGGGGAAGAGTGGATGGCAGCCACGCACGCCCACACCTCCTCGTCGGGGACCTGTTCTCGGCTTTTACGTTCTGACATCTTTTCACTCCGTTTACGAGTCCCCTTTACGTTTTACGACCGATCATCGGGGCCCTTTCTCTCAGCGAGATTCTACCGACCGTACTCGACCGAAGCGAAGGGAAAAAGGAGGATCCAGGGAAACAACAAGACGATCATCACGGTAGGAAGAACAGGCACGCCGAAGACCGCCGTGAGACTCGTTATCCGCCGTCGATCTTTCGATGCCCGATACCGAATATCGCGGATATCTTCCTGTGAAATGGAAAATGGAAGTGCATCGATGCTCGATCCTCTGTATAAAGGGAGATCGCGTCGATAGGGATTACGGCGTGCATCGGCCAGCGCGTATATCTGACCGATGAACTTGAGTGGTCGGATGCCAAAGATAAAAGTATATTACGCTACAATGTAGTCTTATGGAGCAAGGTTGTTTGTATGTTATTAATAGAACGGGTGTGATTCATCTTCTTAAACTGCAGTTTACGATTGTATTACAAGCAGACTGTTTGTGATATACCGATGTAAGATGATTTAGTCGAGACGATTCCTTTTAGGAATTAGGGGTTGATCGTGTTTGTTTAATTCGTTCGTTCGATACTTCCGCTAAATTCGTGCTTTTCTTTCGACAAATTTTAACGAGAATAGTATTCGGAGGAAGAAAGGCCGACTCTTTTCGAACAGCGTTTAAGGGATACTTTAAAGAACAATTAAATTGGAAAATACTTTTAAACGTTACAGCTACCGATCTCTAACATTCCTATTCTATACAAAAGCAGTCGGTCAATATTATTTTTAGAACTTCTTACCACTTGCAACTACTTCTCATAAATAATCTACTAGCTAATTTGCCGCGAATGATATATTACCACGAATACATCATACCCAAATAACTATGTAACTAAAGCGATCATACGGAACCCAATAAATATATACAAATTAAATTTTAATCAATCGCAAGAACTAAAAATCCGAAACCGGTAATTTCGACAGATTTGATAATTCCGGTCTTAATCAACCGCGTCTGCACCCACGTACCTTCGTTGAAATTCTGTACCAAACTTCCAACCTCAATTTTCACACTCGAATTAATCTCACGATCTCACGAACGTCACCCATTCGTCACTCAATCCTTCTACCGGAAAGAAATTCAAGAAGCCTCGCGGAGGCGTAAAGTTGAAGGCCATTCGGCCTCACCGCGTGTCGCAAGCGTTGGCCGTCGAGTATTTCTGCGTAATTGAAGCGGGCATTGCCGCAAGTTTCCGCGGAGTTGATTTTCCGCGCGCTTAATACTCTGCGAGGCATTCGCACGCCTTCGCCATGAAAGGATTCGTGCCGCGGCGAGAGGAGCACGCGTGGTTCAAATCGAATTGAAAGAGCTGCGCGGTAACTGCGCGCGTGTACGCGCTGGAATGTGATAGGCTGGAATCGCTGGAAAGTCTTCGCCGGGACATCTGTGTCGCGGCCTCGCCTTCCGGGAACGCGAATTTCTATTCCACCGATGCGACTAATTGCGCTGGAAAATCGTCATTCCCGTCGTCTTCTTCGCGCTACCAACGTCAAACGCGTCGGTTTCACGCGCCGATGCATGCTTCAGGTTACGCGAGTCGTAAAAGGGCGGCACGTTTCATCCGCGTTAGTCGCCGGGTATATATTTTACGAATAATCGCCGCAATAAATCGAGATTGGAAATTTCAACGATTCACGTTCCCTGTTTAATTTATTGGAGGTAATTTAGATAATCGACGCGGCTCGAGCC